TGCATAATATCATAAGAAGGGACCCTTCCTTGGTAACGTCAACATCAGCACTGCCATCACAGATAGAAAGACCTATCAGAGACCATGGACTCTCAGAGCTCCCACCTCTCAACCATAAGATCAGAGTGTGGATCAGACAGATGCCCCATTCCTGTTCTGGCCCTGCTATGAGTCCCAGGTTTCTCCACTGTGTGGCCCTTTGTCTCCTTGGAGTAGGTGAGTCCTGGTCAGAAGCACAGTTTTTATTAAAGCTATGATGTCCTCAGTTTTGTGCCTTTCTTTTATGGCAGCAACATGAGTTTCCCTCTTGTCTCCACATGTTTCTTCTTTTTCTGCAGGTTACATGGGTGCCATAGTCACCCAGAACCCAAGATACCAGGTTACCAGGATGGGAAAACCAGTGACCCTGAGTTGCTCTCAGGACCTAAATCATGATGTCATGTACTGGTACCAACAGAAGCTGAGCCAAGCCCCAAAGCTGCTGTTCTACTACTATGATCAGGATTTTAACAATGAAACAGACACCTCGGACAACTTCCAACCCAGCCGGCCTAATACTTCCTTCAGTTCTCTGGGTATCCACTCACCAGGCTTGGGGGACTCCGCAGTGTATCTCTGTGCCAGCAGCAAGTACACAGAGCTAGAGTGTTACCTTCTCTCTGGTCATAAACCTGTTTCCAGATCCAAGAGCCCTCTCTAGACACCCCCCTTCCATACACACACACACACACACACACACACACATGCACCAGCAATAGGAAGTGGGGTTTATGGCTGTCATTATCTCCTTTGCAGTTGGAAAGCTGGGCCTAAAACCTACAAAAACCATTGACAGTTAAACCAAGAGTGGAAAGGTGGTTATCCTCACCTGACATTCAGTTTGTGGTGTTTTCCCAGAATCACTTTAATCACCCATTCTGTTCTCTTCAGTAGAAAAATAGTGACATAGTTATTGTTGTTGTTTTTTAATCTAAGTTGGAGACTTAGCAATATGTTAAAGAGCAGGCCCAGACAAGAAGTAGACCCCTCCCGTGAATCCTCTCCCTAAGGAGAAGAATGTGCCCTCGTAGGCATGTGGAGACCATCTCACAGGTTTCTTATCAAGTAAGGAGAATTAGAACTGCTGAGAACTTGTTCCAGATTGAGAGACATGTATTGCCTGGGGCATGCATTATTCATAACACGTCTAACTATTTTGCCTGATGTAAATCTATGAACTATTTAAGTGGCACAGATAGGACTCATATCAAAAGCTAGAAGTGGGGCCTTGTAAGATATATTAAAATTACAGATACATTAAAATTCCTAGAGTTTGCTCTATATGCATTAACTAAGGTCCTCCAAGAATTAGATGCCAAGCCTGGGTTAGAAAATGCCTGTGAGAGAAAATGGGAAGGAAGCTGAGGAGGCAGAGAGAATCATCAGACCAAGATGCAAATCTGACCCTCATGAGGAGAGATGGAAGGAGAAAGGGAGGAAAAAAAAACAAGGCTTGGCTGGTGTGGCTCAGTGATAGAGCACCGACCTATGAACCAGGAAGTTATGATTCAATTCCTGGTCAGGGCATGGCCCAGATTGTGGGCTCGATCCCCAGTAGGGGGCATGCAGGACGTAGCCGATCAATGATTCTCTCTCATCACTGATGTTTCTATGTCTCTCTCCTTCTCCCTTCTTCTCTGAAATCAATAAAAACATAATTAAAAATAAAAAAAAAGAATGGAGCAATGAAGGAAGAAAAGGAGGACATAGGTTGCAGTATAATCGTAAGAAAAGGTCAGTAAGTCCTGGCAGGTCCTTAAGTCCAAATCAAGCACTCCTGTGGCCTGCCTCTCTCCACGGACAGAACTCTGCACCCCAGCTCCAGAGTGAGGGGCAGGGACAGTGGCCCATTTCTCTGAGAGTGCTTCCCTGCTCTCTCTGGGTGGGTGCTTGGCGGGAGAGGGGAGGGGCGGGGAGGGGGGAACTGGATCCAGAGATATGGATCTAGTAGGAGCAGATCCTGTTCCTGGTATCTTCATACAAAGACTATTAGGTTCTATGAAGTGATCACGTCACAGAGTAGCTGCTTACGGAGGACGAGAAAGCCTAAGAGGAAGACACCTGACTCTGTTCGTGTCCTCATTCTGCCATGCGCTCCATGGTCCTTTGTCTCCTGTGTGCAGGTCAGTCCCTGTTCTGAAATTGTCAGCTCCCTGTTCTAAGCCTCCGTCCATGTCATCAGAGTCCCTCACGGGCTAAGTCTCCAATTTCTGTCTGCTTTCTTCACAGGCTTCATTGTTGCAGAAGTCATCCAGACTCCAGTACACCTGATCAAAGGGAAAGGACAGGATGTGAACATGTATTATGTCCCCAAAAAGGGGCACGATTATGTTTTCTGGTATCAACAGATCCTGAAGAAAGAGTTCAAGTTCTTGGTTTCCTTTCAGTACAAAAACGTCCTTGAAGCAGAGATGCCCAAGGGGAGATTTTCAGCTGAGTGTCCCCAGAACTCAGTCCGTATCCTGGAGATCCACGGTACAGAGCTGCAGGACTCATCAATGTATCTTTGTGCCAGCAGTGAACACACAGTGTTAAATATTAGCGAACCTTAGTCCACAAACTCATGCTGGGCCCAGCTCAGGAAGCTGGTGGTATATTAGGTTGAAAGGAAATAACAAAAGCTAACTAGAGCCAGCTTATGCCAAAGGGGAATTTGTTGCAAGGCTAAATATGTATCTCATGGAACCAAAACAAGAACATAGAAATTTCTCAAGAACAAACTGGAAGGAAGTCCTAGAATCATCACAAGGCTAATTTGACAACACACTGGCTTTCCCACCCTGTTGGCCCCATACTCTTCCTTGTTATTAATAGTCTTCTCCCTTTCTTAGATCTCCTAGTGGGTAGAAGATCATAGATTCAGACGTCAGCCCTTCGGCCACATTGAGAAGGACCAACATGACTTCCTTTCATGCTAGATTAGAAATCTAGAAAACAAAACAAAACAAAAAAGATCCTGTTTACTGAAGAACATGCTCTTGGAAAACTCACTTTTAGCCAAGAGGGTGGGTTATTTTGAACAACATGGCAGCTTGGGACCTGCCACTTTGACCTTATGGATCAAGGGTTTCAAAGAGAGGCATTCTCTAACGAGGGGCCAGGACACCCAATGGGTACCCATCACAAGTGGGGAATGAAGGATGATTAATACATTTGCTGGACACAGAGAACCTAGGAAAAAAGAATGAATTAGAGAGGCAATTACTAGTAAATCCTCAGTTTTTAGAATAATGTCAGACCAAGTAGAGACTCTGGTGAATTTCTTTTTAAGGAGTTAAATCCAGGTAATGCACAAAACATGTCAGTTTTAAGTATGACAATTTTAGACTCTACACAGTCACTAATTGGTGTCTATGGAGCCGAGGGAAGTGACAGACTAATCTGTTCTCAGTGACAAAATACCTATTGAAAGTTGATGCAGACAAAGGAAAAACCCTCAGGGATGTGATCCAAATTGTAATGAGGAACAATGCATTCACCAGCAAGGAGGCATTCTGGCATTAACCCCACTTAGGGAGGTGATTCCATTACATAGAGCAGATACAGAGTTCAAAGTAGCTCTGCTAAAATTTGATGCTGGGATAGGAGGACTTGCCAGGACAACACTAACACCCAGGATGGAGGCTAAACCGAGCTCATTTGCCAGTGTTTTCCAGAAAGAAATGGTACAGCGATATAAAGAGAGAATGTTCCTTCTTAGAGCGGAGTTAATACCTTGAGAGCAGCCATTTCCCTTACTGGCATGGACAAGGAACTGTTGGGGGCAAGAATGTAGCTCTGAGATTTGAGGGCAGCCCCCAAGCTGGGATGAAGGCCAAGATTTTCCTTGAAGATGATGATTTGGCAAAATACGGAAAGTCCCTGGGAAGCTGTAGCTGTGGTTGGAAGCAATTAGGAGGGATGGGACAGTCTCCTTCTCTGTCTTCTTCCTCCCCAACAAGAATACTTTGATTCCAACAAAGCACAAGAAAATCTCAAAGCTGTTCAAGAGGGAAGATATTCTGGGCAACACCAGGAAAGTCACCTCAATGTAGGAGGACTTAGTGAGGAGAAAGGGAGCGATATGTGCAGCTGCTGGAGGACATCAGAAAAGAAGCTGTGACACCCTCGGCCTCAGGCAGCGTCCCCATGACTTGGATCCAGAGTAGTCTGGCTGCAACACAGCATCCAGGGACAGGGACCTTCCACGTGGAGCCACATGGGGAGAAGGCAGCGAAGCAAAGCCGGTGCCAAGAGCATACAGGGGAACTGAGTGTGCTGCATAAATGTGAGGTTCCCGAAGAAGGCAGACATCAACTCTGCCTTTCACCAGCCCCTTCAAGAGAAGGAGAGAGAAGAGGAAAAGGAAGAAAGATTCCCTAAACTCCGACTTGAGGAAAGCAGCTGTTAGCACTTATGACCAAGTCGAATCTGCTGAAGAGGATAGAGCCCTGTGTCCAGGATTTTGAACAGGATACAGACCAATAAATTAATCCATGGTGTGGATTTCTCTGTTTCTACACATGAGACTCTTTTTAAAGGTAATTGCTATATATATATATATATACTAGTGGATAGACAAAGATGGGAAGACACTTGGAAGTTTTTTCTGCAGAATAGAAATGAGGATTTCTACATATAAAAGTACAGCTTTGATAATAGCATAAGTCTCCTGTAGTCACATTTCTAAGTGATACTCAATATGTTATACCAATTTTCATTATAAAGTTGCACAATACAGAAAGGACTTGCCAAGCCTGACAAAAGCATACAGATAAAAAGACATTGTCAAATGCTTAGAAACAAGCAGCCTCAAAGCAGAGCAGGGACAATGACAGTGACCACAAGCTTGCCCTCCCACGTTGGCTTGTATTGGTTGCCTGTGTTAAATGTCAAAGCTCTGAGAAAAGGGGAGTGGCTTCTCTCCCAAAAATGAGGGCCAGATGCAGACATTTTAGAAACCAACCAGAGCCCCCAGAGCTGGCAGACACCAATGTGACGCTGCCATGGGCCCTCAGCTCCTGGGCTGTGTCATGCTTTGTCTCCTGGGAGCAGGTGAGTCCCAGAACACCTGGGCAACCCTTGGCCAAAGCTTGCAGGTCTTAGCTGGAGTCCCTTCCTAGAGGCAACAGCACAGGCACCCTCCTCGGCTACCTCTAGCTCTGTTTCCTCTCCTCACAGGTCCCACAGAAGCCGAAGTGACCCAGACCCCAAGACACCTCATCACAGAGACCAAAAAGAAGTTGACAGTGACTTGTTCTCAGAATATGAACCATGACGCGATGTACTGGTATCGACAAGACCCAGGGCTGGGTCTAAAGCTGATCTATTATTCAATTAATGTTGATCATTTTGAAAAGGGAGAGGTTTCTGAGGGGTACACGGTGTCTCGAACAGAGAAGGGGAATTTCCCTTTGACCCTGGAGTCAGCCAACATCAGCCAGACCTCTCTGTATCTCTGTGCCAGCAGGTAACCACAGCACTGCATGGCCAGCTGCTCTCCACACAAAAAGGGCAGCCACAGAGCAAGGAGGCTCCTCCCTCGGGAGGCCCCACCCAAGCAGGAGGAAAACCTTCCCCCACCATCAGTGCCCATAGAAGTCCCTCCCAAGTCCCCAGCTTCTGGGGCTCTGAGTGATGCAGACCCTCTGCAGTGTGTCCTGCTCTCACTTGTTGTACCAATAAGTTTGTCAAAGGTCAGGCAGGACAAGCTAACTGTGCTTGGGCTAGAGCTGGGGTAAGGCATTCCTTTCCTAGACAAGGATTCTTACATACTCTGCCATCTTTTCTCCTTACTGACCTTCACTGTTGCCCAAAGAACAGTCCATACCAATCCAATCACTTGACAAAATGTTGTCCCACATCATGGATCCTATTCCTAGATGTTTTGTCACCAGGAAAATAGCATGTTCTGAGTCTTTTGTTAAATATGACATCTCAGCAAAGTGTCTTGCTGTCCACCAAAATGCCTGAGCCAGAGATGTCCTCTCCTTCCACACCTCATCCGTGGCCACTCCCTCCACATTTCCAAGTATTAAATTCTTTGCAAATTTTACTATTTTTTCTAACCTCGCTGATAACATCATGGTCCAGCAAACCTCATCTCTCACCTGGATTCCTTAACCACATTTCAAATAGTCACCCTCATTTCTAATTTGCTACCTGGTCCAACAAACAAACTACTCACTCTCTTGAGCTTAAAACCCATTTACCAGCTAAAGACTCATGCTTATGTTACTTCACAAGCCTCTCAGCTCCTTCTAATGATGTGGTGTTTGCATACCTGCCTACCATCCTAACGTGAACTTCCTCTTTCTACAGTTATTGCAACTGCCTTCCTTTCTACCAGATGTTTCCACATCTCTCGGGTGACCACCTATGTCCTATGCTGACTCACTCCTGGCTCATCACCTATAGTGTTCATCTTACCTGGAGCACCTTCCTCTTCCTCTTTACCTGAATATCTACTAATAACAATTCTTCTGCATATGAATTGAGAAGTCATTTCCTCCAGGAAAATGTCCCTGAATTCCTGAGTAGTTTGGTTAGTTCCTCTGCTGGGTGTTTGTATGACAGCCTGAACCTTCCGTGGTTCTGGATGATGTCTGTTTTGTCTTTTAGTTGTATTTTTGAAGTGGTTGTGCAAGGCAGCAATTTCAAGTATTTACCTATGCTGCCATCTTGGTTTCTCCAGCACCCAGATATTTTTGGTGGCTGGTTTTATGGACTGAATTGCATCCACTCAAAATTCATATGTTGAAGTTCTATGCCCCAGTATCTCAGGACATGACTGTATTTGGACATAAAGTCTTTAGAGAAGTAATTTATGTTAATGAAGTCATTGGAGTGGGTCCTTTCCCAATATGCCTGGTGTTATATAAAAAAAGAAAAGAAAATTAGGAGCCAGTCACACACAGAAGGAAGATCATGTGGCAACAAGGGGAGAAGATGGCCTGCTATAAGCCGATTGGTTCCTCTGAAGAAACCAATCTGGTTGACGCCTTGATCTTGGACTTCTAGCCTTCAGAATAGTGAGCAAAACAAATTTCTGGTTTTTGTCACCCACTGTGGAAGCATTAGCAAACTAACACAGGTGATCACACAGGCACCTTCTCCCTGGCACATTCCAAAATTCCAGACTCAAGGAAGCAAAGTGGGTGTTCAACATAAACCACATTGTGCCAGCAGCCTAGACACAATGAACTAAACAGAGGGGACACTACTGAAACCCAGATACCCAGAGGCAATCCCAGAGCCTACCCTGTAAGCAGGTCCTTCTAAGATAGCTGTCTCAGGCTTGCTATGTTTTTATCTACACACACACTCACACACACACACACACACACACACACACACATACACACTGACACTCCCATGAGGAAAAGGGGTGGCTTTCACTCTAGCCCCTCTACTAGTAAATTCTTTTAGAATCTGAGGATTGCTGAGGGATCATGAGTGTGGGCAGGGACAATGACATCAGAGATGATCAGCCTGTAACCTTGGCCTCAGAGAAAATACATTTGTGTCTCAAACCTGCCATGGGACTCAGGCTCCTCTGTGGTGTGGCCTTTTGTTTCCTGGGAGTAGGTGAGTCTGGGAAGTTGGTGGTGAACTCCTAACTTATTATTTCTAGGCCCTGGATACAAGACTTTTCCCTCATCAAGCTTCTTGATGACCTCCTTTTACCTCCTTTATCCTCCTTTCACAGGTCTCATGGATGCAGAAGTAACCCAAGTCCCAAGATATCTGATCAAAAGAAAGGGAGAGAAAGTTTTGATGGAATGTTTACAGGATATGGACCATGAAAACATGTTCTGGTATCGACAAGACCCAGCTCTGGGGCTGCAGCTGCTCCACTTCTCATATGGGGTTGACATTTATGAGAAAGGAGATTTCCCCGATGGGTACAGTGTCTCTAGGAAGAAGAAGGAGGGCTTCTCCCTGATCCTGGGGTCTGCCAGCACCAACCAGACATCTGTGTACCTCTGTGCCAGCAGTATATCCACAGCGCTGCACAACCACATCCTCTCTGCACAAAAAAGGCAGGTGCCAGAGGGAAGTGACCCTAACTCAGGGCTGAGTTACATCGGCTACTTTGAACAAAGGTGGCCACTCAGTGGAACCAAGCCCATGGACGTACAATTTGGCCTGGAAAGCACAGGATATTTTTTATGCCCCATGCACCATCATTTCTGAATTAGGGGCCATTCCAAAGTTAGTCTGCCCAGACTTGTATATTATCCCCAGCCTAAATTCATGAGACTCTACCCCAGTCAGGAGGAAACATCCTCACACATATTTACATGGAAGAAGCTCTGTTCTATCATTTTTTTTAACCAATTTTTCTCCCCCTGTCTTATTCTTGTCCCTCTTACTGTCATTTGACACTTTGCTCCATGTCTTTGCTCTTAATCAATGTTTCACTAGGGGGCATCACACAAGCTAAACTCCTTCTTCAGATAAATTTTATTCTCCCTATATTGACTTAAGAGAAAACATGTGGAATTTGAATTCTATTCATTCAATCTAAAATTAGAACAACTCTAATAAAAAGCAATCTTTCTCCACTATCTCTAAGTGGTCACTAATGTTTTACTAGAAACAGGTAAGGAATAAATTATGATGCAGAGGTTATAAAAATTAGGTTACATCTGTACACATGATCATCTGGAAAAGTATGTGTGTATTTTAAAAATATATTTAATTGATTTCAGAGAGGAAGGGAGAGGTAAAAACATCAATGATGAGAGAGTCATCCATCTGCTACCTCCTGCACAACCCTCAAAGGGAATTGAGCCAAACCATGACCTTCTGGTTTATAGGTCGACACTCAACCACTGAGCCACGCCAGCCGGGCATATCTGTGCATTTTAAAGAATGAAACATCTATCCTGTCTGTAAATAGTAATTGAGTCCTTTGGGAATACAAGAGAAATACTTTGCTTACAGTGATGGATACACGATGCAGTGTGCAGATGTTGTTTTGTTGAGTTATACACTTAAAACCTGTACAGTTTTGCAAACTAATGTCACCCCAAGAAATTCAGTGAAAAAATAAACATAGCAAAAGAATGTAACTTCAAAAAAGAGTATTAAAAAGCTTGGTAGAGTTCACAGGTGTGTGCATTCATCAAAACTTATTTAATGGTACTTAAGAGTTGTGTCTTTTACTGTATGCAAATTTACCTTAAAAAGAATCATAAATAAATATTGAACACTAGTTAATTATATGCATGCTTAAGTGTTTAAAAGTGAACTATGCCTTTAATTATACAGAGCAGAGCTGCCTCACACAGATTGTCAAACTGCAGCGGGAAGGCCGGGGAGGGTTGGGGGACAGGAGGGAGAGGAGTTAGAGATCACCTGAAGACTTGGTATGCATCCATATGAGCATAACCAATGGACATAAGACACTGGGGGGTAGGGGAAGCCAGGGTATTGTCAAGGGCTGGGGGAAAAAAAGGACACATATGTAATACCCTTTGTAATGCTTTAAGCAATAAAAAAAAATTTTAAAAAAATAAAAATAAAATAAAAGTGAACTATGCCTTTAATTAACTTTTAAATGTATCGAAAATGTACATGGGTAGATGGATAGTTTTATGATAAAGCAAAAAGTAGCTTTATCAATGTGGTAGAATCTAAGTGGTGGGCACATGAATGTTCAATATAAAACTTTCAACTTCTATCGAGGTTTTAAAATTCTCATAATAAAATGGGAAATAATAATGAGGCAAATATGTATGTTCTGATATAAACTAAACTTTTCAATGTATTGCTAATAATACATTGTTAATAAAATAAGCAGCAAGGTATAGGAAGACCAATCAGATACTTATAAACTTGAATAAGTCAAGAATATGTCTAGTAACAGATACAACAAGCTAATTGACCAGTTGCTTCTGGGTAAGGTACCTTACTTCTTGCTCAGTTTTGTGTTTTTTGAAATTTTAACCATGTGCATGTATTAATTCAATAAATAAATACATTAAAATTATATGATAACGGTAACCATGACACCTCTGAAAGTAAAGTCTAAAGACACAAGTGCTGTTTGAAGATAATGAAAAGAGAAAAGAATGTCTTTGCTATTGTTTTATAAAAGAAAGAATACCACTGAGAGGGAAAGATTTGGAATTTTTTAAAGACTAAGAGTCACTTGGTAATTTTCAGGATTTAGGATGAATGAACTAGAAAAAGATCTTGGGTTATTTTGGTAGACATTTTGACATATTTGTCTAAATTTTTAAAATGTATCCCTAGATGTCGAGAAAAAAATGGAGTATTCTATATCTTTCATCAGCATACTACTTAGCAGGGTTTATCTTACATCACTCACTGCCTCTGGCACTGCCCATAGATGTACAGGCTGCAAACACACACACACACACACACACACACACACACACACACACACACACAAACACGCCATAGCAGAAAGGCTTACTGAAATATTATTATCTCTAACATGCTGCATTTCCTTGATCATAAGGTAAATTGTTTTTGAGTTTTATATTTCCAAAATATGAGTAAATCCTGTAATCTATATTCATTTCTAATGTAATATTAACACCAACCAAAAAGAGCCATTATGTTTTTAAGAGTGCATCTTATTCAGTGGTTCTCAACCTTCCTAATGCTGCGACCCTTTAATACAGTTCTTCATGTTGTGGTGACCCCCAACCATAAAATTATTTTCGTTGCTACTTCATATTTGTAATTTTGCTACTGTTTGAATCATAATGTAAATATCTGATATGCAGGAACTATTTAGGCAACCCCTGTGAAAGGGTCGTTCGACCCCCAAAGGTGTCGTGACCCACAGGTTGAGAACTGCTGTATAATTAGCTGGACTTTCTGAATCAAAGATATAAGGTAGGTTAGTTTTACAAGAATTTGTTTCTAAAGGTCCTTGTTTCCTTTATGGTGTTTGGCCTGTCATTCTCATTCATTCACCAGATTTTATTAAGTTCAGACAACTGCAAAGTGAGACCATCCTTGACAGTATTGATATTCACATTGGGTTTTGAGGTCACATAGACATGGACTTGAGTCTTGCCTGTGTCACTTACTCTTGGATTATGTGAACTTGGGTAGGTTATTTAAGATCTTTATGTTTTCCTCATCTGTAAAAATGGGATGATAGTGCCTAAGTAGCCTAATTTATAGGCTGAAATCATACATGTAAAGCATGGAGTAAGTGCAGAAAAATACTAGCTCAACTTTTATGAACAATAAAGTATTTTATTTGGAGGGAGGAAAACAGGAGTAGAGGCCAGTTTACTAGAGTATGGGTTGAGGGAGGAATAATGGGGATGGTTTGGGACAATGAAGACTCAACAGACAGTTGAAATTCTGAGTTATAAGATTCCCTCATATTCTAAAGTTTTCCTTTAGTTATTTGAAGTCAGTGCTGCATCCCATTTTTGCTTATACCCAAAGGGAAGCACATACATGGCACTGAATAATGATGGATGGAGAGGTGGTGACACATAGTGGATGATGGCAGTTACATACTGGGATACCTTGTGAGTGAAGAGTTACACAGTTCCACTAGGGGCAGACTAATTTTCTCCACATTTTGCAGAAACTCAACTTCCTATTTACAGGAAAGGAACTACACAGTGGTGAGGAAAGATGACCTTGAGTTTGACTTCTCAGTGTCTTTTCTTATGTAAGAGGAGAGGATATCACCTAAAGATGCTCACTTTCCTACTACTTCTCCTAAGACAAGGTACGAGCCTTATTGGGTGGGGAAGTCTGGGATTAATATTAATGTTGAATAGAGGAGTAGAGGGTCTGAGGCCACCAGTCAGAGAATGGGGGGAAGGAGGAGAGGGAAGATGTTGGATTATAGAATATGACAGAATAATAGTTGGCAGAACAAAATGGAGGCAGTGCCACAGGGTTCTTTGGGAGCCAAGGTGACATTGGATCAAATAGTAAAAAGAGCTTCCTTCCTGGGGACAAGCTGGTCAGCGCTCATGGCTTTCTCTATCTCCCTGCAACCAGGCTCTGTGTTTGGTGCTCTCCTCTCTCAAAAGCCACTCAGGGACATCTGTCAACGTGGAACCTCGGTGACAATCCAGTGTCAGGTTTATAGCCAAGTTGCCCTAATGTTCTGGTACCGACAGCTTCCTGGACAGAGCTTGACACTGATTGCAACGGCAAATCAGGGCTCTGAGGCCACTTATGAAAGTGGATTTACCAAGGACAAGTTTTCCATCCGCCGCCCAAACCTAACGTTCTCCATTCTGACTGTGAACAGTGTGAACCCCGAAGACAGCAGCTTTTACTTCTGCAGCGCTGGAGACACAGTGCCGGGCACAGATCAGAGATCTGAGCAAGAACTTCAGCTTCCTTCTGCCCATCTCCCTCCTCCCCAGTTCTCATCCAGATGAGCTCTGTCGAGGCAAGCTGGAGGGAGGAAACCACAGCTTCCAGGCAGAGACAGATGTTTGTGTGTTTGTGGGTAGGTATGAGTATGAATGTGTAGACTGAGATGGAGAGAAAATGTGTGGGACTAGCTGGAGGGCCTATCCACAGACATGAAAGGTGGCTACTGGGAGCCTGAAGATAAAATCCTCCAGAAGAGTGCTTAGAAATGCTCAGTAAAGACAATCAAATATAGTTTGCCTTCAAGTGACAAGTTCAGAAATACTCTTGAACTATTTCTTCTCAATGCTATATTTAGCCTCTTCTCTATCAATATAGTTCAGAAGGCCCTTAATCATCTTAATAGCATACTGGCCCATTGCACTCATGGTATTATGCTGATTGTTCTTTGTGAATAGAAATTATAAAGCACTCTAGATGCCTCAGTATATGACATATGCAGGCCAGAAGAATGTATAATCTGCAAAAGTTCAGGGACCTGCCACATTGGTGAGCTTATACGTAGTCCAGATGTGTGGGACATGTCAGAATATTCCCTCTAATATGAGAGATAAGTCTTATTACCATCTACTATGCAGAAAGAAGTGCAGTATTTCATGGGCCTCTATGGACTTTGGAATTAACATATACTGCAGTTGGGTGTGCTGCTTGGGTCCATTACTATATCATCTGTAAGGCTGGCCCTGGGTGGGCACAAGAGTGTTGTGTAGCAGAAACAAGGTTGGGATGAAAGCGGCCCTGCCACCTGGGCCAGAGACCAAGCAGGCTCAGTTGTTCTCAAAGTACCTGAGGCCAATTGGGATGCTCTGTGAAGCCCTTGGCATTCCTCAAGGCTGATGCAAAGAGTTTTGGTGTAAAGCCATACTTTTTCCACCTGCCAATAACTTGTTGTCCTTTGAAAAACTGCTCCTGGCTTTTGACCGAATGCCTCATCCCACATTCAGAACTGGATGTCATCTGATCAGCAACACTGGAAGGCTGGACAAGCACAAAGTTTTCTGTGATACGTGGAAAATTATAACCAAGACCAGACTCAAGCATAGCTGGAAGAAGGGACAATTTAATTTCAAGAGCACGTCTCAGTCTCATAGTACCCACTCCTATTTCACACACCTTGACCCCTCAATTCATACCTAAGGCTTCATGGGATAAATTTGCACTGTGTTCTAGAACGCTCATTACAGTTTAATACAGTGTGTTTCTGATGGTAGTGGTGAAAAGTAATCCTCAGAAGGGCCGGAACTTCAGCCCATAATTTTATAGAAGAAGAGATGGCCTGAAGTGTAGACCTACTCCTTGTTCAACTTTCACTCTGTCATATTCTAGTCTATTCATTCCCATTTTCCCTCCTTTTGCTTCTCTGTGCTACATTGTGTGTAATTTCTTTAGACTTGCTCTCCAGTTTACTAATTCACAGCTCAGCTTCAATAAGCCATTTAAAATTTCAATTGATTATTTAATTTAAATTATATAAATTTCCATTGCTAGGAACTCTACTTGGGTCTTTTACACATAGGAGCAGTCATTTTTGAAAGCACCTTGCTCCTTGTGTTTTTTGAAGTTATTTATTTAAGATTATTATGCATCTATTCAGAATTTTACGTGTTAATGCCAACTCCTGATGACTTTTTGCATCTGGTGTTTTTGTTTGTGGATTCTGCTGGTTTTCACTCAGGGTGACTTAATTTTTTTGTGCATCATAAAATTTGATATTATGAATTTATCTTTGGGAATATTTTCAATCCTGGAATATGATGGGTTTTCTGGGAAATATTTATTTTTGCCTCTAGCAAGCAATTGGGATGCAATATACCTGATGTCATTTGGTTTGATAATTCTCAGTGTGTATCTTCTTGATCATACAATGTCTATCCCAAACCCTAAAAGGCTGATAATACAACACCATGAATATTTAGAGGAAACTTTTTAAAATCCTCCACCGAAAGCTAAACCAGGAAAAATAATACTTTTTGTTAACTGCCCGTGGAATTATTTTGTTCATTTGTCCTTTCATTAAGCGTGTAGCCCTTCCTATATTCTGGCTTCATACAGAAATGATTTCCAGCCCTACCCTGTTTGGTTCAGTGGAAAGAGCGTCAGCCTGCAGACTGAAAGGTCCCAGGTTCGATTCTGGTCAAGGGCATGTACCTTGGTTGGGGGCACATCCCCAGTGGGGGGGTGTGCAGGAGGCAGCTGATCGATATTTCTCTCTCATAGATGTTTCTAACTATCCCTCTCCCTTCCTCTCTGTAAAAAATCAATAAAATATATTTTAAAAAAATGATTTCCATCTCACTCCTAGTTTATTACAAGGTCCAGTGGGTCTTGCCCAATTTCCACACATACTAATTCGTGGGCCTCTGGGATCCACATATGAGTCTATTGGATCTAGTGGGTCCAGTACCAGCTTCCCTTCCTGCCTCATGCTCCCATTTCCCCAAGAAGTGGGTAAATTCACATACAGATAAGTCAGGCTGTGAGCACCTTTCTATACGACAGCACAGGTTTCTCCTAAGAAGCATTAAAACACTGGCTAGAAGCTTGAATTCTGGCATCAGACAGACCTGAGTTTAAAATTTGGCTCTATTGCTTGATCACTGGATCTAACTTTGAAAGGGTTACACAATTCCTTTATATATCTCCACATGTGTAAAATGACGATAATAATGAAACCCACAAAATGAGGTAGGAGGGTTTGCTATAAGAATGGGATGAAATTACCCATATAAACTACATAACACTGTGCCACATAGAGATAAAACATGCAACGTAGTTACTACCTAAATTTATTTCTCACTGGAATACAAGAAATTGTACCTTAGCAATTCCTTTCCTGAGGTTAGCTATTGCCCTTTCTGGGAAAATTTTATTATTATTACAATAGTTTTAGCTGTTTTAATTGTGAAATAAATGCATGGTATTGTGATATACAAAGATTATTAAAATGAGAATTTTTAAATATTTTTATTGAGTTTCAGAAAGAGAGGAAAGGAGAAAAAGAGAGAGAGAGAGAGAGAGAGAGAGAGAGAGAGAGAGATCGATGTCAGAGTGGAACATCAATCGCCTGTAACCCTGGCATGTGTTTTGACCAGGAATCTAACTGGCAACTTTTCTGTACATGGGATGACACTCAACCAACTGAGCCATACCGGCCAGGGCTAAAATGAGAATTTAAATCACGCATTTAAACAAAGTTAGATCATATCATACATACTCTTTTATAATTTATTCTCTTAACACATCAATATTTCATGAACACCATGTTATATTAAAAATACCTTATATCAACTTCTATAATAATATTTTAATGTATTAATTATAATCCTTTTTAAAAATCGTCTAATGGTTTTTAAAGTGAGAGGAAAGGAGAGAGAGAGAGACATCAATGTGAGAGAGAAACATCAATCATTTGCCTCCTGTACACACTCCAACTGGGGATCAAACCAGCAACCTACGTATGTGCCCTGACTGGGAATCGAACCCACAACCCTCTGGTGTATGGGATGATGATCCAACCAACTGAGCCACTCACGCAGGGTTCACCATCCTTTATATATCAGTTTTAAGTCAAAACCAATGCAAGGTAAAAATCATATGCTAGATGACTGGGTTATCTCATTTAAAAGCAATGGTTGTGTGTTTTGGTTTATTTCTCTTACAGGATCAGCAGGCAATAACAAAATCCTCTTTTCCCCACCGTCACACGACTGACTCCTCCTTATTTATATTTCAACTCAAATGTCATCTCCCCAAAAATATCTTTCCTGGCCACCTTACCTAATACAGCACTGTTGCCCCAACCATCAGTAACTCACATTGATTATCACTTTATCCTATTTTAATTCTTCTTAATCACCATTATCTGATAGAAATATATATGCTATATATAAATAATATACATATTCTTATTTATTGCCCATCTTCCATTGCTGTACACGCAAATACACATCAATGCCACTAAAGCAAGCACCTTTTCTATCTTCTGCATCGCTGTTTTCTTATAGCTTAGAAAAAACACAGCAACATCACGGGAATTCAGTAACTATTTACTGAGTGTTATGGACAAGTTGTACTCCTTCAAAATTCCTATGTTGCAATCTTAACTCCCAGTACTTTAGAATGTGACTGTATTTGGCGACAGGGTCATGAAAGAGCTAATTAAGTTAAACCACGACCATTGGGGTGGGCCCTAATCCAATCTGGCTGGTGTCCATATCACAAGAGATTAGGACATACTTGGAGAGAACACTAGGGTTGTGCCCACAGAGGAAAAGTAATGTGAGAACACTGTGAGAAGGTAGCCATCTGCAAACCAAGGAGGGAGGCCTCAGGAGAAAACAATCCTACCAATACCTTGATCTTGGACTTCTAGTTCCCAGAACTGTGAGAAAATAGATTTCCATTGTTTGAGACACCCATTCTGTGGTATTTTGTTATGGCAGCTTTAGCAAACTAATACACTAGTAGAGAACTATAATTCAGAAATAGAGGAAAGTTGGCCAAGCTGTATGGACATCCTTGGAGAAAAACTCTAGAAAAGCATTTGAATGTAGATAATGTCAGTCCATAAGAAAATGAACTAGATTGTTCTAAAAGGGAGGGAACGGATGCTTTGACCTTTATATCTGGATACAAAGGTGGCCCAACAACGTGTTCCAGGCCCTTTGCTGTCTCCAAGGCTGGGAAAGAGACAGATGTTATGGGTTCTAGATACGTAAGCCCAGAACCTGCTCAAACACAGTGGCCCTCAAGTGGAGGGTCTTCAAAGGGAAACTGTGTTGGTTGGTGCCTGTGTGGACAGAGCACTCCCTTTTGGACCTGAGAGCCTTTTGCATATACTCCTGAATGGGTTGGCCTATAGGAAGTAGATGGACCAGTTGGCTGCCTTCCAAATGAAAAAACAGTCTAGAGCAGCAGTTCTCAACCTGTGGGTCGTGACCCCTTTGGTGGTCAAACGACCCTTTCACAGGGGTCGCCTAAGACCATCCTGCATATCAGATATTTA